CATAAGTGTAAAATATATCACATTAAATTTAACTTCAGGTTTTAAATTTCATCTTACAATCTATGACCATGTAAAATTTACTTACCTCTTATTTGCGATGGATGGAAACTTCACATGGTCAAAGCTTTTGAACGTTAAATTAGTTTTTAATTTAACGTTCAAAAGCTTAAAAAACAACTAAATTAGTTGTTTTTTAATTTTTTTTTTTTTTTTTTTAAATATGAGTGCGTAGAAAATAATAATAAATGTAGTCCGATTTGACTTTAGCTATTGCTTCACTTGCTACACCCTGGATCCGCTCCTGCAGAAGAGTTTGTTATTCAGTTCCACAATTTTAAAAAATTAAAGGATTTGAAATTAAAAAATTATAAATTCGCGTTTTTAAAGTTTTAAAAAGTTTATTAAATAATTTTTAGTATCTGCAACTATTTAACTAAAATTTATAATAAAAGTAAATATATCTTAATTTAAAATGATTCTTTGGACATATAAGGGGTTTTAGTAAAAAAAAAAAAAAAAAAAAAAAAAAGATTAAAATCATTTTGTCAACCATATGTCTAATATATTGCCCACTGTGTAATGGGAGCATTCATTTTGGAGATCAAAAAACTGCTTTTTGTATCACCAGAGTTTGATATAAATTACAGAATGTTATACTCAGCAAGGCCAACGGTGCTGTTTTTTGGCGTTTGAAATAGCTAACTTCTAGTCATTGTGCAAACTCCAAACATTTATATGTTTATACTTATGTCAAATAAGGATGCTTTGCAAAAATTTATGAAGATTGGAGCCTGGGAACAAAAAAGCTCAAAAACTTTTGCCCTCCCCATCCCCAAACGTGAGAGCAACCAGTTGATAAAATGTTTTTCTACTATTCTTAACTAGACTAATATTAATCAATAATTTTAATATTAATCAATAATTTCATAGTAATATATTTTAGCGTTCAAAAAGTATGACAAAAGTTTTAAGTTTTATATGAGGGGGTTACAAATTTTATATTGACATAATTTTTGAACGCTAAGAGATTATACTATGAAACTTAAAATTTATCGATAAATATAAGTCTAGTTGAGAATAGTACATAAAATATTTTATCAACTGGATGCTCTCACATTTGGGGCAGGGGGACACAAGTTAAGGGGTTTTTTTGTTCCCAGGCTCCAATCATCGCATTTTTTTGCAAAAGCATCTTTACTTGACATAAGTATAAACATATAAATGTTTGGGGTTTGCACAATGTCTGGAAGTTAGGTATTTCTAACGCCAAAAACGGCACTGTCGGCCTTGCTCAGTGCATAGATGTAGTCAAAACTTTTGCTGATAGTTATCAATTTAATTATTTACATAAAATAACTTTAACAAAATTGTTTGTAAGTAAAGGGCGTTAAGTTGAAAAGTGTTCCATAGTTTTGGTCCGCGGTATGATATTCCATATTTAGAATACTTACTATTAATTCTTGGTAATTCATAAGTATTCCATCTGTGTGTGTTTTTGTGTGTGTTTAAATACTCAGTGTATTTAAGGCGATTTATAAAATATTCAAATACTTTTATTTGGAATTAGCATGATTTTGTCAGCATATTATGTCCAAACAAGATCTTTAAATGCTATAATTTTTTTTGCTTTAGGTTTTTATAATATTTAAAGAAACATTTCTTTTTTTTATATAATTTTCAAAACCTTTTTACTACCCGTAATAGTGTATCTAAAGAACACTATTTTGGAGTCTTTAGATCAATTCTGCTCATCGGCATTAATATGAATTTAGTTAAAATCTTTTGAAAAAGTATCTTAATTTACTACTGATCTTATTTCTAATCGGTTCTGACGTATATTAGTTATATCATGGCCTACTATAATTACACGGCCTGATTTGTTGCATTTTCCGTAAAAAATTAAGAGGCCAGTTTTTTTACGGCTAACGTTTGAAAGCTTGAATTCTTCTGTTAGTATTGTGAAAGTTTTATACATATTTTATTAAAATTGGAAAAAATGACTCTGATTTTCTTGGTGTAGTTACATTATGTTATACTGGATTTTTCGCTAACTGATTGCCTGCTTCAGTTTATTCCAGTAAAATAGAATACTGAAATAGGCTTTCAGATAGCTATATATAAACATGGTACTTAAAATAACATTACATGTTGCAAAGACCATCTACAAATCTTTAGTGGAAATAAAATCAAAGGTTTGTTATATTGTTTTTATTATAATTGAATCAAACAGTATAAAAGAAATAGCTTTTTATTAGGAATTATTATTGGTTCTCTGTCTTTTTTTAAATTGTTTCACCTGATCTTTTCTTACTGAATCAGTTGTTTCTTTTTGCAAATTGTTATAAAAGATATTTATAACGATAAGAGATCCATATTTTATACCCAACTCTTGGTGATTGTCACAAGTAAAATCAACACTGCTGTAATAATTTTTAAAGATTTGTTCTGCAAAACTTTTAATTGAAAAAGAATAACTGCAATGTTTGATTAAAATAGGAGA